CTGCGGCAAGAGGGGGGGGACGGCGGCACGCAATGATTGGAAGTTGATCTATCAGCTATCCTTATTTCAGGCAGATGTTTTTATTTTATTTGGCTTATAATTCCTTACTAATGTAGTATTTCATCTCGATGTTCTCCATCTTTGATATGATTTAAATCAAATTCTTTGTCATTATAATTCGCTTCCGATAGTGAAGAAAGTAACACAGAGGTTATTGAAAACGAAAAAATTTCGATTGACAAATTAGTCGGTATTCTCGACACAGCAATTATAGGACTTGAACAGCGGAACTTTGTAAGTGAAGAAGAAATTATGTCTGTTTATAGAATTAAGTATTATCACATAAAACGAAGCAACTTAACAACTTACATTGAAAGAAATGTTTAATAAAGTAAACAAATAAATATTAAGCTTTTTTTTGTAAATTTTGATACCCTTTAGATCATAATTGTTCTTTATTTCATAAATTACGGTTTCATATTTTTAATTTTATAATTTCTGTATGACATCTTACCAGATTTAAACTGATGATCTATAATCCAGAAAAATCGATAATCCGGAATCGCCCGAAGTCCCGAAGAGTCCGGATTAACGACTTTTGACTGTAGTATGTCTATGGAAATTTCCTCAATGGTGTAGTGATTGGGGACAAAAAATGCCTTTTTCAGGCTCATACAAATCTAATGAAAAAGAAACAAGGTATTCCTGCATATAAATATAGGTTTTCCATCACTTTCATAGTTATAGAATTAACTAGAAATCTATTAAAACAATGATATTAAAATTAATTTTTATGCTAGTTTTTATTTACACATGTTTCATATGTTTTTTGTACTAGCTTGAATTTAATTTTACTCAACATGTTTAGCTTGCTAATGTTTACTTACATATGCTTAATACCATGCTTTTCTTGATTTTAAATAATATGAGTATCATGTTTAACCAGCTAATTTTACTTACATATACTTAATAGTATGTTTAATTAGCTAATTTGTAGCTAAATTTGATCTACATATGCTTGATATCATGTTGTGTTCTAAATAGCATATTTAACAAGCTAAAATTTGACATATACAGTCAAAAGTCTTTAATCCGGACGTCCATAATCCAGAATGATCTATAATCCAGACCTCAAAACTACAAACTTTCTGCGCATGCGTCAATCTAATGCGTAACACATTCGCATAATACCTTTACGCTGCACGTAATATTACGCATAGCATTTAATTATAAGGACAGTATAGCTAGCTAAAGTTATCTATTCAGTTAATGTTGCAGATTGCGTGTTCCTTACTCTTCGAATAGATCGGCTTATTTTTTTGCAGACTGTTAAGCATTTTTATAATGAATCTTGACTTCGATTATGTCAAATAAATTTCGATTGGAGCTACCAAGAATCGACAGCTGATCTTTGGACATGGTATTGGTAGTTTGGCGACATTTTGGAGGCAAGCAGGTACGATCTGTTAATAATGTGAGCCGCTCGTGCGATTCGCATCTTTTGTTTGAGGAATGAGAGTCATGAGATATGTCATGTGACATTCCGGCGAATTACAGTTGTTTATCCCCAGAAAAGGGGGGAAATCTGGAAATTTCGTATTTAGCTATATCGAGTTGTTGTTAAACGTGACATTAATGGACGAATTACCAGTTCTTTAAATCGGAACTTTAAATTTTGTATATTAATCGGTTATTGGAAAACTTGCATTGTGTGTTGTGTAAAAATAGTGTTTATTATTTTTCGGATTGCATGGCGGCTATTAAGTGAATTCTAACTTTTTCATGCGTTTATCTGATAATAAGAGTAAGCTGAGATGTGGGAAAGGAAGGATATACAAGTTTAAATGCGGTGCAGAATATGTGAAAATGGACATTTTGTGAAAGATTGTAAGGAAGGGTACGGTTTGCTGAAAGAGTTGAGTATGGTTATTTTTATTATTTTTATTACTGGTGAATAGACTTCGTTACGACGGATAGGATTAGAATTAGCATAGTACTGCAGGCGATGTATGAAGATTCTGAAGAAGATTAGTAAGTTTGTAATTAATCATTTGAGGATTATTTTTATGCATGTTCTAAATGTAGGAGTAATAATTAAATGGTATTATTGAAATTGTTATAGCAATGATTTAGTTTAAAGTAATAGATTGTAATCTATTTTTATTAATTTATTATGTGCTTATTTAATTTTAAGTCGTTTTTTTTTTAATATATTTTAATTAATGATCTATTTTTGGCGTTATATGTTTGTATTTTTGGAATATGTTTGGTAGTATACATTGCTATTTTCATGCATTTCGTTAATTTTCTAATTTATGAGAAAAAAGCAGTGTACATGGATATAGTGAAAGTGTGCGCATGCCATTTTTGTGCAATTCTGGGATGTTTTTTAAGAGTAAAAATAGTCGGCCTTCCATGGTTTTAGTGTTTTTTAATTAAATGTAGTTATTTTGTGATTTATGTTTTAGGAATTTGGTATCGTTTTAGTGAAGTAAACGTACATGCAATAATTTAAATATTTGACACTAGTCATTGTCCTGGTTCGCGGTATGAATTCGTTGGTGACGTTTATATGTCCAGTCAAGTCGTTAATTTTCGGACCCCATAATTTTCGGAATGATCTATAGCCGGACTCAAAACTAAAACTTTCTGCTCATGCACCGCTTGACAATGCGCATAGCTTTCCGCATGCGCGAAGACTTTTACGACTGCGCATTGAGTGTGCGCAGTGCATAATACGTTTCGCGTGCACTTTTATGTATAATTGACTATAAGCTAATATTATCTATTTCATATGTTGATGATTGCTTGTTCCTTAATTTCGAATGGATCCGGCTTATTATTTTGCAACTTACGAGCAATTTATAAAGTAAGCTAACTTTCGATTATATCAAGAGATTTCGGTATATATTGGTTAATATGTAAAGTATCTAAAGCGAAGTATGTTTTGGAATCCGAAATCTGTTATCAATTTCACGCTGCTCGGCGGCGGGCCGTATGAATTGAAGTTCTTGCAGCACTTCCTTATTCAGCGCAGATGTTTTATTTATTTGCTTATATTCCTTACAACTGTATATTTCATCTCGAATGCTTCGTCTTTATATGATTTAAAAATTCCTCCTCATTATAATCGCTTCCGATAGCAAAAAGTACGAGGTATTGATACAAAAAATTTCTTTGACAATTAGTCGTGTTCTCGACACAGCATATAGACTTGAACACGGAACTTTGTAACTGACAAGAAATTATTCTGTTTATAGAATTAAAGAGAAGTCTTATCACATGAAACGAATCAAAACTCAACTACATTAAGAAATGTTATAAGTAAACAATAAATATTAGCTTTTCTTTTTGAATTTTTGATACCCTTTAGATCATAAGTTCTTTTTTCATAAATTACGTTTCATATTTTTAATTTTATAATTCTGCATGCCATCTTACGAGATTAAACTGATGACTATAATCCGAAAATCGATAATCGGATCGCCGAAGTCCCGACAGTCCGATTAACGCTTTTGACTGTTAGATAAAGAGGTAAAAATTTATATTCATTTACATACGCATGCATTTGAAAATAATACCCTTTTCACAAAGGTAATTTCATATATGTTCTTTTTACCGTTTTAAAGATTGAAAATTGTCATTTTCGTGAAATTTTTCTAATTTATGAAAAAAGCAGTGTACAATTAGTGAAGAGTGCGCAATCCATTTTTGTGAATTTGGGATGTTTTTTAAGTAAAAATAGTCGAATGTCCATGGTTTAGTGATATTTTAATTAATGATAGTTCTTTGTGAATTTTATGTTGTAATTTGGTACGTTTTGCAGTGAAGTAAAGTGCATGGAATAATTTAAATATTTGACCTAGTATTTGTAACTTGCGGTATCAATTCGTTGGGACGTTTAAAATAATAGATAATTTAGAGGTAAAAGTTTTTGGATTTTTATTTATTTTATATGTGAAATGTTCATCTTTGGAAGTATATACTTTTTCGCGATCAGGTAATTCATATATGTTCTTTTTACCAGGTTTAAAGACTCAGAAAATTTTCCTGCATTTTCGTGAATTTTTCTAATTTATGAGAAAAAAGCAGTGTACATGGATATAGTGAAGAGTGTGCGCAATGCCATTTTTTGTGCAATTCTGGGATGTTTTTTAAGTAAAAATAAGTCGATGTGTACATGGTTTATGTGTATGTGCATTTGAAAAACGCGTACAAGGAGTTGCGATTGTGCACTTTTCCAATTTTGCATGAATATTGTCATGATTAAGCAGTTTGTTACATAATGTCTAGTATAGTGTATTGGCTGTAGATGTTGGAAAAGTGTTGAGTAATAAAAAGAAAAAACATGTCTTACCTGTGAAGACAAAATGCGCGAAAAAAAAAAAAAATAGAGGGTTCTGTAGCAATTGGCGCCAGTTCGCAAAAAAGTCGCCAGTTTACCATAAATTCAAGATCAACCGAATCTACAAAGCAAAACGCTGTTCCGATGTCCATCAACAAAAGTGAAATTGCTGTAAAATGGATAAAGGCAATATTCCTTTGTTTATCTACCCTTCCGATCGTTATATCAGTTCCACGCTGCCTGGTCAGGAGGGGGAAATGGTCGCAGCGGCACTGAACTGCATTTGATCTGTCTTCACTATCCTATCTTCATGCAGATGTTTTTATTTTATTCGGCTATAATTCTTACTACTGTAGTATTTCATCTCGCTGTACTCTTTCTTTAATATGATTTAAATCAAATCATTATCAGTATCACGAATACACAAGCAAATAGTTTTCTGGTGCAATTTTTCCTAATTTCACTACTATCTATGTTGCTTATTGAAAGAAATGTTTAACAATTAAACAAATACAATTAGCTTTTTTTTGTAATTTTGATACCCTTTAGATCATAATGCCTCTTTATTGCATAATTACCGTTTCATATTTTTAATTTTGTAATTTCTGCATGCCATCTTACCAGATTTAAACTGATGATCTATAATCCAGAATTGCCGAAGTCCCGACGAGTCCTGATTAAAGACTTTTGTTTGTATATCTTTAATATCATGTATCATCTGCAGACGTAAACATATACCATTAAATCATTCCCGTTGGCAAGCTTGATGAAGAAAAAGTTCAGTGTCGCAAATGGATTTTCTGCGGCAGTAAACCCAAAGTTACTTTTTTGATACAATTTGGTGATCTTTTCTAATTACATCAAACTATCAGTATTTATTTACCATAAATACTGATAGTTTGAAGATGTTGGCAAACAGTATTAACTATGTGTATATATGCAATATCACCATGTGTGCCATCATTAATACAGTACTATTAACTTCTGGCTGTAGGCATGGCTGGGTAGAAGACAGGAATAAGACATTGACAAAACTAATTTTGGCGAATCACTCTCTTTATTTCTAAGCACATCAATAATTATTTCTTTGGCAGAAAGCTTACTCTTTGATCATAATTGAATACAAATAACTTTTATATACACAGATAAAAAGCTACGACGTCATTTCAGGTAGGGAAGCATAGGCGGCAGAGAGCTGTTTGCATGGCAGAAGTCAGGAAAAAAGGGAAGCGTAGTACTCGTGACTCAGCATTTATATCTTGTATGTGCAGAGTGCATTCTAAGCTATGATCGGTTAATACCAGTTTTAGTTACCTTTTTCAAGCAGGCAACCTCTAATTAACTTTCCACTATTTCTTATTTCAGGATCTTCCCCCTAGACCAGTACTTTCGAGAACATTCTGGCATGTTACGTAATCGCTACTATAAATGAAGAGTTCATGCCATTTTTCGTGAGATTGCTTTTCTCCACCTGCTGCTGTAAGACCCTTTGCTGCCACTCTTCCCATCTTTCTTTGTTTGAATAGCATGACGGAGTAAAATTACTGGATTACTAGTAAAATTATTAAATTTACTGTGTATTTAGTCTAAATTTCTATTGCATATGTAATCTTGAAGAAGCTAAAAGAATAAAGATTTGCCATTTGAATTGAATAAAGATGTAGAACCAAAACAGCTAACATCTTTTATGTCATCATTTCTTTGCCAAGCTTTATGTGTGTGCTCAGTTGCTGAAATATGACATATATGTATATACTAATTACGCAGTTGTTTTTAACTTAATACAATTTCAATTTACAGAGACATTACATTTAACTATAGTATTTTTAAAAATTATAATTTGTATGAATTTTTTTCTCTGTTTGCTAAAGAAATGTTTTTTGCCTCTTTACTGTTAATTTATGCTTAATCAGTATTTACTCTCTCTCTCTCTCTCTCTCTCTCTATATATATATCATTAACATAGTACATATAGCACATGCACATACTTGAGTAACTTAAAATACAGATTTTATTTATTTAAAAAAAATTACATGATGTATTAAACAATATATGTACAGTAAAAGCTCAACTATCCAGAAAACTCGGGAAATCTCGAATTCCAAATACTCCAAAATTTCAGATAGAAATTAGAATTTTGGGTCGAAAAGCCAATGGAAGAAATTGCCAATTTATAAAAATGCTTGCCTTATTTGTTACCAACTCAAATATCAAATGCCTAAATTTTAATCTTCCAGCATGCCCACATCGCATTTTTTACGACGTCTGTTATTTTACCATTTTTGGCATGAAAAAGGTGATAGAAATGAGTGAATATTGATAATGAATTTGTTAAGATATAAAATATTAAGCTTATTATCGCAAAATACATATGATGTACCATTGAAATGACAGTAAATTATTTTTAAATGCTTATATTAGTCAGGTGGAAAGGCAATGATGTATTTCATTATAGAAAACTTAAAATTTTGTATTTAATAACTATATTTTAAAATCCAAGCTAGTTTTAATACTCATTAAAAGCAAGTATAGACAAATAAAAAAGGAAATTACACTCACCTTGGTAGGAAAAGAACCTAAGATTAGCATTACTTACTTCTGAAAGGAAATTTACTTCTTAGTAGTTACAAAAACTAATTTTAATTTTAAT